CTGGGATCCTCCACACTCAAAGGACAGTCACAGTGTCACACATGTGGCCAAAAGTCTGCTGCATCTGCCTTTTCCACCTCAGCCCCCATCAGCCTGTGTTGTCTGCCAGGCTCCAGCCACTGGACTTGCCCTCGGCTCCTGGGTCAATTGGAGCACATACAGTGTAAGCACACCAAGACATGATCTGTCCCTGCCTGCTGTCTTATCATTCAGGACTGGGTTCTAAAGCCTTTCCAGGAAAGGCCTTCACTGACAACTCTTCGTGTAATAATCCCTGTCCCCTGATTTCCTACCCTAATTACTATTCTTTTAATTGTAAATAACTGTACAAAATTGCCCTTCCAACCATCTTATCTTCTTACCCCCAGTTCTCCAATCATTAATGACATTTCAGTGACCCTGTCTATTCTGTTCTTTTTCTTTTTCCCAGTACTTAACTCAGAGGCATGTGTATAAATCTGAGTAAGTATTACTTAATTGAAGGAAATACTAGTTAACACATCATAACAGAAGAAGCAGATACAAGTGAGTACCCATAAAATCACATGTGCAAGATTTCAAACTATTAGAAGAGCTAGTAGAAAACCCACATTGCTTTTCAATGAACCTAGATGGATATCAGAATGAACTGGAGAAACTATTGAAATAAGAAAGACTTCCTGTTCCTGGTTTGGTTTAGTAATTTTGGGGGTGAGGGTGGCACACGAAATATCTTGCAGTTTAATAGATTTCTTCTGATAATTTTGATGAAAACTTCCTACTTGGAATATTCCAGACCTAAACATTTAATATTTGAGTACCAGTAATTGAATGTCACCCATGCAGAGTTTTTAGACAACATGATTTTCTCTGTTGATATAATCATTCAAAGTACTCTGGTCCTTCAATCCATTTGAGGTCACAGGGTACTAAATATATGAGTGTACAGTTGACTGAAGACTATTTCATGAGAAGACTCTCCTTTCCCACTGAATTATCATTGTATCTTTAAAAACACTGCCATTTACTTAGATTCAGATCTATTTGTGAGTTATTCCTGTAGTTTAGTTTCTTAACTTGATGTCAATAGAACACTTTTTGATTGCTATCAGTTTATTGGAAATCTTGAAATCAGGGATTGTTTATTCTCTAGTTCTGTTGTGTTGTCAAAAATCTATGTCCCAGCTGGGCATTGGTGGTGCATGCCTTTAATCCCAGCACTCAGGAGGCAGAGGCAGGCAGATCTCTATGAGTTTGAGGCCAGCCTGGTCTCCAGAGAGAGTGCCAGGACAGGCTCCAAAGCTACACAGAGAAACCCTGTCTCGCAAAAAAAAAAATGTCCTTTGAGTTTTCACTGAATATGAGTATCAGCTTGTTATTTTCTTCATAAAAATATTTGAAGTTTTATTGAAATTGCAGTGACTGGTTTTTAAAAGATGCAATGACATAACTTATATGCCATCCTAGAGCCTTCATCCAGCAGTTGGTGGAAGTAGAAGTAGACACCCACAGCTGAACACTGAATTGAACTGGAATCCAATTGCCCAGGAGACGTGATGAGCATAGAGGTCAAGACCAGGTTGGTGAAACCTACAGAAACAACTGACTTGAAAAAGGGAGAGTTCTTGGTCCCCAGACTGATAGCTGGGAAAGCAGCATGGG